ATTTGCCATTGTTTTACAATTATATAACATTTCAGAATAGAACTTTACACCTCAATGTGTGTATCTAAGCCTCACTGCAAAATTCCAGTGCAATCACACTATCAAACAAGCCCCTCTACCCATCCCTCCCATATTTGCCATTTCCTCGGTGACATACATTTTTCCAGACTAAGAGTCTAAGGTTTAAAAGGTACAATTTCCTCTTTTTAATAGCTAAGTAGTATTTCATTGAGTATACATGCCACAGCTTCTTTTTAAAAAAATAATTTTTTTTTATTAGTGAAACACCATGAGGTACAGTTGTAGACTTGCAAATTTTTGTGCTTGGGTTTCCGTTGTAAAATGATAGAGTACCCATCCCTCCACCAGTGCCCATTTTCCACCACCACTGATCCCAGTACCCCTCCCACCGCCCTTATCCCCCCATCTCACCCTGCCTCTGTGGCATGTCACTCCCTTTTGTTCTCTCTCTCCTTTTGGGTGGTGTGGCCTGCAAAAGAGGCATGGAGTGGCAACATGTTCAGTCTAGAGTCTAGTCTCAGCATGCTTCTCCCATCCTGGGGGGAACTTTCCAATACCCCCCGCTTGGTGCTCCCTTCTACATCTGGGCTGCCTTTACCCATAGAGTGTGAAGTTAGCCTGCAAGCCATGGAGTAAACCTCCTGGTACTTATCTCGGCTATTCTTGGGTGTTAGTCTCCTATTTTGTTACTTTATGTTCCCCAGATGAATGCAATCTTTCTATGTCTATCCCTCTCTTTCAGACTCATTTTGCTTAGCATCATACTTTCCATGTTGTACCACTTGTATGTAAATTTCATGACTTCATCCTTTCTGACAGCTGCATAGTATTCCATTGTGTAGATGTACCAAAGTTTCTTTAACCAGTCATCTGTTCTCTGACACTCAGGTTTTTTCCAGATTCTAGCTATTGTAAACAGTGCTGCAATGAATAGACAACTGGAGATGTCACTTCGACTATACTTTTTTGCCTCTCCGGGGTATATTCCCAGGAGTGGAATTGCTGGGTTAAATGGGAGCTCAATTTCTAGTTTTTTGAGAATCGTTCATACTGTTTTCCAAAAGGGCTGAACCAGTCGGCATTCCCACCAGCAGTGAAGGAAGGTCCCTTTCTCACCACATCCGTGCCAGCATCAGTTGCTTTTGTTCTTTTGGATGTGGGCCAGTCTCTGTGGTGTGAAATGATATCTCATTGTTGTTTTGATCTGCATCTACCTGATGATTAATGATGTAGAGCATTTTCTCATGTGTCTTTTAGCAATTAGGATTTCATCTTTGAGGAAGTTTCTGTTCATTTCGTTGCCCCACTTTTTGATAGGGTTGTATGTTTTCTTCTTGTGGAGTTCAACCAGTATTTTGTATATCTTTGATATCGACCCCTTGGGAAAGACTATTCTTAAACAGTAGAAGCACTAACTTATGAGACTAATTTTTATAATGTTGTAAGAACCAACCTCCCTGTTGGCATCAAAGATAAGCGAGCTTAATAAAATGTTAAGTGTTTCTTCAGGCACCCTTTAATTTTCGCTCCTATTGATGAAACATCTGTTGCAGGGATTCTGTAATCTTACACCGTGATGAAAGTTACTCTATTTTCTCTTGCAGTAATATCAAAAGACAAGCCTTTATAAGAAAATTATACTTTCTGAACGTTAGCGTAAAACTGAAGCTAGATACTGTAAGAAAATCTTAACATTTTTCTGATTTTAGAACATCAGTTCCCAATCTTCACTTTGCTTTAAAAAAATCATAGTGAAAGGGAAACATAATTGAAGAGAGTAGGATACTTTCTATTTTTTTTAAAAATAAGATTAGTTTGTTTGTTTGTAACATGGTCATAATATCCATGTACATAGTGAACTTATATTTTTTTCTCTTATTTTGGGAAGTGGCACACCTGGGCATGCTCAGGACTGACTCCTGGCTCTGTGCTCTGGGATTACTCCTGGCAGGGCCTGGGGTGTCATATGTGGTGTGGGGGATAAACCCAGGCCTGCCAAGTGCATGGCAGCTGCCTTATCCTCTGTATTGTCTTTAGCTCCCATTTTCCCTTCTTTATGGCATTGTCTACATCCTTAGGTTATTATAAACTCATAAACATCCTGAAACTGAAGAGATTGTATAGTTTCTTTTCTCCCACAGAGGATGAAAATCACTGAGAATGGTAGTCATGCTAAAACTCTAATTCAGTTGCCATTTTCTTAAAAAAAAAACTTTTTTGACTGCACTCAGCAGTATTCAGGGGCTATTCCTGGACCCATATTCAGGAGTTACTTCCAGAGCAGCTCAGAGGACTATCTGGGGCTGGACTGAACCTCAGCTTCCTGCTTTTAGAGGATATGCTCCAGTTAATTGAGTTCTCCAGACTGATCTTCAAAAACTAGCTTGTTTTCTAACTAAAACAATCAGCCTTTCAGCTAAAATAAAATGAAGAGTCCACATTTCTGTGAGTTTTCTTAAGCTAGAGAAGTTATGTGGCTTCTTGGACTTGCTGGCAGATGCAAACCTAAAGAACAGGGTTTATCTAACTGATAGAAATCAGCAGTAGATGTGGATGAGTAAATGTATCATATCAGTAAGTCTGAAGGGAGGGGTTGTATTGTTAGTTATTAGGGCCACACCTGGTGGTACTCAGGACTCATTCTGTGCTCAGGGATCACTCTAAGAGCCATGTGCAAGGCAGTTGCCTATTCTCTTAGGTCTGTTGTCAACTCCTTTTGTCCAAAGGATGCACAGAGAAAACTGTAAGACCCATTGTCTTCAGGAGGTGCACTTGATCACTTGACATCCCATTACTCATGGATTTGCTCGAGCGGGTGCCAGTAATATCTCCATTCATCTCTGTCACATGCTAGTGTAGCCCAGTGACATCTGGTCTTGTAGGAACACGAAGAGCCTCAAACCGATCTTTCAGGGTCTTGACGAAGAAGTTCTGATCATCTCATAGGTGTGTGACTATGTGATCTTTTGATGTCCTGTGGAATCCAGTTGGTAAAGGCTCTAGTCCAGTGGTTGTCTCCAAATCTCATTACGTGTCCAGCCCATCTGATTTTCGATGTCTTGGCAGACGAGACAGTGTCCCTGATTCTTGACCATTGATGGAGGTCGGAATTCCAGATTCTTTCGTCATTTGAGTGAAACGTGATACTCCAAGCATTTTGATTCCTCTTTGGGAGACCCGAATAGCATTCTCATCCTGTTTTCATAGGGCCCAGGTCTCTGAGGCGTATGTTAATGCGGGAAGAACAGTGGAATTGAAGAGATGTGACCGGAGCCACAGGTTCTTTGTCCTCTTAGCTATTTCTTCAACGTTCTTGAAGGCGTCCCAAGCTTCTCTCTTCCTCCTGCGCAACTCAGGTGCCAGGTCACTCGTCATGTTCACTTCTGGACCTAGGTATATATAACTGTTGCATTCAGAGATGGTCATTTCGTTGAGAGTGAATGGAACGTCAGGAACGAGACTGTTCTCATAAACATTGTCTTCATGAAATTCAGCTGTAATTCTACCTTTCCACACTCACGGTCGAAGTTGGCCAGCATTTGTGCTGCTTGACTAATGTTTGATGTTATTAGAACAATGTCATCAGCAAAGAAGAGGTGGTATAGTTGCCGACCATCTATCTTCACTCCCATTCCTTCCCATTCCAGTTGTTGCATAATGTTCTCAAGGGTGGCACTGAAGAGTTTCGGTGAAATGGTATCACCCTGCCGAACCCCTCTCTTGACATCGATGATCACTTCTTTATAGAATGTAAGATCCTGGTAGTGAATCCATAATACAGCTCACGGAGGATCCTGATGTATTGAGTTTGAATGCCCTGATTGGCTAGGGCTTCAACGACTGCTTCTGTCCCAACAGAATCAAAGGCCTTCTTTAAATCAATGAACGTTAGACAGAGCGGCATCTTGAACTCCCAAGAAACCTCAATGAGCTTGGTTATTGTATGATGTATAGGTGTTCCAAGCTGCTCCGGACTGTGTATACATGACACCACATGCACTAGAGTTAATCTGAAGAAAGCATCCTGGAGCATGGTGGTGGCTGGGTAGTGGAGGTAGTGGAGATCTGCAGGTGAGGTATTTATCTGGTACCAGTAGGGTGGGTCTTCTGTGTGTAATCCCTGGGTCGCTGGTGGTTGGTGGAAGCAGACAGGGCAGGATAGTGTGGGGCTCCTGATTTTAATCCCTTGGTCACCTGAGATTGGTGGGAGCAGGCAGAGGATCTCTGTTCCTGGGTCCGTTGAGCCTGGAGTCCAAGGTCTCAGAGTCCCGCTTACCTGGTTCTGTGGGGCTTCACTCGTGGGTATGATGTATAAAGGTAAAGGTAAAGGCCCTCCCGTTGATCGTCGATTTGCTCGAGCGGGCCCAGTAACGTCTCCATTGGAGACTTTGTTGTTACTGTGTCTGGCATATCGAATACTCTCGGTAGCTTGCTGGGCTCTCCGAGAGGGGCGGAGGAATCGAACTCGGTCAGCCATGTTGGCCGCTTGTAAGGCGAACACCCGGAAAATGCCTTCTCCTGGAAAGTTGGAGGCCTCCTTGGGGGCTGTGAGGAGAGGTAGGAATGGGTTAGGTTTTAAAAGTCACCATGGATGGAGATGAGGAGTCCCAGACAACTCGGTGGGACAGATTCTTTTTATTTGTACTCCCATGAAGAATATGCAAGGAACCCAAATATAGAGTTAAGCCGTGTTCAATCTAAAAGCTGAATCCTCACAGAGCTGAATTTTTTTTCTCTGTGTTAAGATAGATTGCCATGCTGTAGCCAGGACAAAGTTTTCTTTCCTGCTTCCTGAACAACTTTTTTTTTTTAAGTTAAGAACCAGCTCTAGTGACTCTGGTGCTCAGGGTGTTTTGCTATTTGATTTGTGAGCAGGCTTATGTTTATGGAGCTCTGACACGCCTGTACCCTATGTGGATTCTTTTAGGGAATGTACACAATTCAGTGCTATCTCTATGGGTCGGGTCTTGTCCACATAAAATTGTGCCTGTTCAGGGGAGACACCCTGATCACAAAAGTGGTTTTCCCAGGACAAAGCTTATCAATTGCACTCTGGATGTGCTAACCCCTGCAATTTCCCCAAAAGTGGGGAAACTTGACTGCATGATTTGTGGTAGTGGGGGACTGCATTCTCACTCTCCCTGTTAGAAAAAAAAATTGCGCCTGCTGTAACAACTAAAGGAGTGCAAGGCTTAGTTCAAAACAGTAGGGAGGTCGAGTTTAAGAGAAAAAAACAACCTCTGGGAAGCTGGTCTTCTCTTTGAATTTTCTTCAGATTAACTTTACTGCGTGTGGTGGCACGTATACACAATGGATTATTATTCAGCTGTAAGAAAATAAGAAATCATAAAATCATGCCGTTTACTGCAATGTGAATGGATGGGATGTGTTAAGTGAAGTAAGGCAGAGGGAGAACAAATATCAGAAAGTCTCACTCATTTGTGGAATACAGAGAGTCAAAACAATGGAATAGATGCCAATAATGAAAACGACACCCCCTGGTCTTGGAATACAAAACTTATTAGCAAACAGTGGACAGAGGGGTGGAAGGAACCAAAATAGGACCGGAAATGATGTAGGAACAGAGTAGAGGGACGCTGGCACTGTGGTGGGTACATGAATTCTGTACCCAGTTTTGTAAGCAAACACTAACATATTCTAAACTGTAATAATTAAAAAAAGAACAATGGGAATGTCTGTGAAGTGGTAAAAGAGACCGTCAAATGAAAATCTGAGTCAACTATTTAATTTTGCTATGTGGTTTCTAATTTGACATTGTATTTAATAGCCAAGGTTTATTGGGCTTACAATTTCAATTCTGTAAGCACTCTAGTTTAATCTGAAGATTGTTGTGCTAATGAGACCCCGAGTTCTGAGCTAGGAATTCAGAAGGAGAGAAGATCTTTTCCCTTAATGAATAGAACCCAGATGAGAAGGCAATATGAAAAATGTTCTAAAACTCATTAGGGATAATGATGAGAGTTATGATCTTTATAGAAAATCTCAAACTTCTATAGTAAATACACACATGTATTTTTTAAAAGTATTTAACTGACCTAGATTATTTTAAGTTATAAATGGCATACATGCAAAAGGATATTAAGAATGTTTTTAAAGAGCATATTTCTGGCCATAGAATAACTATACAGTGACTCAGAAGAAAATAATATGCTGAAGTGGTAAAGTAATTGAGGCAACCCTATATGTAATTTAAGTAAAAGAAAACAATGTTTCCCAAATCACCTCTAACACATTGGTTTCCCCTGAATGACCCAGATAATTGCCATAATACTTCATTTCATTTGGACTATGGAGACCTGATTTCTACATTTTATTTTCTGTGTAGCACATGGGGTGCTGGGGACTGGGGGAGATGGGAAAAAATAAACCCTTTCCTTTGTGGAATTTGCCAATGAATCTGAAAAGGAAGTAACTTATTTGAAAGTTGGAGAGAAAACTAAAGACTGACTTCTTTCAGAGCTTCTGGAAGAGGAATTGAGGAAGACTGGAGTCAGGCTTCAGTTTTTGTTTTTTTTTCTATTCAGTGCCAAACCATTTACATCAGTTTTGATGAAGATAACCTGATAAAAACATTATTTTTATTTTTAAAAATTATTTTTAATTCAATAAAAAGTGAACTGTCTTTGTTTTGCTTTATTTGAAAACATTATAAATTAGTTTTTGACACCTATCTAGTTTTAGAATGACATTGCCAGGTCACAGGGCTATTTCAGAATCTACTTCTCAAGTGTGAAGAGAGAATTTGAGGCATACAATTGGTATGGTTTCAGAATGTTTTATCATTGAGACTAGGGGAGGGTTAAAAAGTCTTTAAACAGAGCCTCACACTGGTAGCCAGAGTCCTTTGAGTTGAGCTTGGTGGTGAGAACAGAATAAGGTTTATTGGTACTGTGGGGTCTTACAGGATGGTCATAAGTATTGGGGGGGCAGGGACTGTCAGAGTGAAATACTTCAATTACCCCTATCTGGTCTGGTTGTTTACAATCTCTCCTTGAGGTTGTGGTATGTCTGAATTGTACTTATAATACATAAATTTCCCTTCAAAGTAGCTGGGGACCTGGAACACAGTTAGAGAAGTTTAAATGGAAAGAATAAGTAAGGTCTACTAAGAACTCTCATATGAGGACCCTGCAGATTGCTTAAATTATAGCACAATCTTGTCTAAGAGTGAAATTGCTACAGGGAAAATTAGCCAAAGGAAAAATTACCATCAATGTTGTAAATAAGCACTTTCCTAATCACCAAAGACCTCTATTTATTTGAGGCTATCTTGGGGTTGTAGCTTGGGAAGTGGGGGATTTGCAATTCTACTCTGATCTCTGTACACAAACAAACAAACCAAACCACAGATACTTCACTCCTTAAGTACTCGAGTTAATTGCAATTTCTTAGATGGCTCCAACTTGGAGAACAGTAAAATTTCTGAGGTTAATGAAAGGTTACTATCTGGATTTGGCCCTTTAAATGCTTGAATTCCCATAGTCTCAAGTATCCATTCATGCTCCTGTTTCCCTTATCTGTCACTCATATCACAATGCTGCACATTTGGTGTTTTTTTTAAAGTAATAATTTATAATTCTGCATTATCATGTGTCACATGAAAAACTGAGTTGGGCCTGAGCAGTCTTTTGTTTGGCAGCAACTATTCTAGTGCTCAATGAAGGTTTCATACGCTTATCCTTTAGTGTCTTAATCTGTCTGGTCACTCTAGTTGGTTTCTGTCTTGTCTGGAAAACGATCATGTACTTAATGTTTTACTGATTGTGCTTCATTGCTATCACGCACTTAATTTTATTTGGAAGCTTTTTTCTTTTGGCTGTCCCTCCAGGAGTATATTTCCCGCTCTCTAACTTTATTGCCTTTCTTATAACAAATCAGCCAAGTACAGATGTGCATACCATGATCAAAACACTGCTTTTGACATTAGCACCAATGCCAAGATTTAAACAATGAAATTGCAACAAATATAGAAAAGGGCCCGTTTACAGATTTGATATGAAGGTTATTCTTCTTACCAGCGAAGTATGTTCTTCTGGATGATAATTTGAATTAATAGCTCTGCATTCATGTCAAGAAACTCCCGGAGACTCAGCTATTTAACCCTTTCCTAGTCACTCCTTCCTGAGACTCAGTGATAGCGTGCTTTCTGACATGACTGCAGTCACAGGGATTCTGGCTTATTTTCAGCCATGGTGGACAAAATCGTGATTGTGTTGCTGCTTTTATTCTCAGCTTGCTGGCTTCTGTATTCCACCCAAGGGGGCTGATCCTTGAGGAGAGGTGTGGGAGATTATTACCAACTACTGTTGAATGTGAAGACTGACGTGCAAAGCAGATTCCAGATATACTGATAATATTACTTTCCCCACAACTGAAATGCAGTTTGGAAGTGAAAAAGCTATAAGAATGAATAGAAAAGCTTTTAACAGATATTATTCAGGAGAAGCTATGTAGAATGAGGACAGGAAAGTTAGCTGCAGGTAGGGTAAAAGTGTCTTCTTGACCCTGAGAATTCTACTATGCAGAGAACACTGTTACCCAGCTGGCTTCTCTCTCTTAAAAATTTTTCTTTATTTAGTTACCATGAATTACAAAGTTGTTCATGATTAGGTTTCAGGAATACAAACCAATTCCTTCACCCGTGTCCACTTCCTTCTACCAATGTTCTCTATGTCTTTTTTTTCATTTTTTATAATTTTATTTATTGAATCACCGTGAGAGCAGTTACAAAGCTTTCGGGCTTAAGTCTCAGTCATACAATGAAACATCCATACCTTTTCCAGTGCTCATTCTCCACCACCAAAACCCCCAGTATACCCCCATCCCACACCCTCCCCCTTCCTGTGGGACAGATGATTTCCACATTACTCTCTACTTTGATCACATTCAATATTTTGACACTCACCATTATTATTTGGGATTTTACCCCAACACTCAGATCTGCTGAAAAGGCAACAGTAGACAATTTGTTTTCTATTGCTGGTTAAGAATAACATATGATGTTGCTTGGCTGCAGTAGTGGCCACGAGATTTTGAAATTCTGAAATTTTAACACTTAAATCTGGAGGGATTTCTGCCCAAACCTGCTGGGTTCTGAGATTTGTTCCTGAGTCTCTGGGATCATTAGGCAGCTTGATCAGGAGCCAGAAAGGCCATTAATGGGCAGTGAGTCAGGGTCTCGTTGGGATGGGGAAGAAAGGGTCGGCTCCACCTCCATCCCGTGAGGCCTCACGTGTCTTGTCACTGAGGACCCAAACCTGACTGTCCAGTAGCCTCTGGAGGATGGCAGCCACCGGGCTGCCAGGGGAAACAGGCCAAGGCATGAAACCTATTCCCACCTGGGTTGACCCAGCGCCTGTAAGGTACCGCAGAGACCAGTTGCATTTTTGCCAAAAGCTGCTGGGTTTTGTTTGTTTCTGAGTCTTTGGGATCATGGCCATTAAATGGTTTGATCAGGAGCCAGAGAGGCTGTTCATGGGCGATGACTTGGGGTCTCATTGGAGTGGGGAGAAAAGGGCTGGCTCCCCCCCCCCCATCCCGTGAGGCACTGTGTGTCTCATCTCTGAGGGAACAAACCTGACTGTCCAATGGCCTCTGGGGGATGGCGTCCACCGAGCCACCAAGGGGGAGCAGGCAGAGGGACAGCACCCTTTCCCACCTGGGGTGGCCTGGTGACAGTAACCTACTGCGGGGTCCGGATGCATTTCTGCCAAAAGCTGCTGGGTTTTGAGATTTATTTCTGAGTTTCTGGGATCATGGCCATTAAGCAACTTGATCAGGAGCCATAGATGCTGTTTGTGGGGGTGACTCAGGGTCTCGTTGTGGTGGAGAGGAAAGGTCCACTCCACCCCCCATCCCAAGAAGCCCCGCATGTCTTGTCACTGCGGGCCCAAACCTGACTGTCCAGTGGCCTCTGGAGGCTGGCAGCCACAGGGGCACCAGGGGGAACAGGTCAAGGTACAAAACCTATTCCCATCTGGGTTAACCCAGCGCTGGTAACCTACTGCAGGGACCGGATGCATTCCTGCCAAAAGCTGTTGGATTTTGAGATTTGTTTCTGAACCTCTGGGATAATGGCCATTAAGCAGTTCAATCAGGAGCCATAGAGGCCATGCCTCCAATTA